CTCTAGCTAAGGCTTCCTCCACCGTGAGTGTTCTGCTGCTAGTCGCCGAGAATGAACTCGCAACCGCTTGAGCCAATGCTGGGTCAGCGTCGACTTCTGTGAGTAGTGTATTTTCTTCTTCACATTGCTTGTATTACTTTTCTACCCCTAGACAAGTATTCATAAACATTCTAGCTTACTCGTAGTAATTTTAAAATGACAGCATTACTGTTCAGTGCATTGTTTTTAGGTCCACATATGCGAGTATCATTTTGCTTCCGTTTGCTCTGTTGTTTTTCGCTACCTGCTCACGTCAGTTCGTTCATGTCCGCTTACCGCCGGGCATAACCGCATGTAAAATTTTGCAGATAATGTAATTCGGATGTGAAAATGAGGAAGATAAATTGCTTTTTAGCTGTCATCATAGCAAATGTACTCGTCACTGTGCAGATTTCTTTACAACTTACAGAAGTGATAATTATTCGTCAGGGTGAATACCGGTCCTTGAAAAACATCCTAAGTAGCATATGTGTTAAGGGGTAGCATTCCAGCTACAGTCATTGGAAGTCCCTACAGACTATGTTAGCGGTATTGACAAAGGAGGAAATTTCAAAGGGTATTAAAAGCACTGTACCCCTTACTGCTCTTCACAACTCGTGTATGATGCGAAAATTGAACCGGTTTTCTCCGTTTGCGTCGTGTTTCAGACACGGGTTGTATTATTTTACATTGGTAAACAGGAACCTTCGCGACTTTCTTACTCCTACACCACCCTTTGCTTTTTGGTGCGGCAGAAAGGGCAGTGCCATGGTGGATCCCTCCTCGGGCATCGAGGACTGCGCCAATGTTGCTTCCAACGCCCACGGTCGTGTGCTCTTGGCGTGGTCGACCTCATATGCGCCCCCAACTCTTATTACATGTTAGTTTTCACTCACTTCCTGTCTTCCCTAATTCCTCTTCCCCTCATAACAGTCGACGACAGCTTTGTTGTGTAGATTAGTAGTATTTGTGTCCTCACTTAATTAGTTTATCCAACTTTGTACCAAGCATAAATATGTGCAATTGTCTAATTACGGCTCTTCAACCGCAACAGGCATTCTCAAAGTGGTAATGTGAAGGACTGAAACTCCAACGATGAGTCGCATCGACACTGGGTTCGCCGTGCCTGGGACCGCATATTAACGTAGCGTTTGGACAGTCTCGACGTCGTCGTGTAGCGATTGCACCACCTCTTTCTCG